TTACAAATTACCTTCTAATGGCCAACGAACACGGAGGATGCAACTGGTGAACGTGGACGGCGCATGTGGTCGCCCATAGAAATACTATTCGTCGAGTCATCTGAACTATCGATCTAGCAACGTAACCGTGACGCAACGAATCGCTCGAGAATTTCTACCAAGAGGATAAGACGTTAATGCTTTCTTCGATCTCATCGCATATTCTAACGTTCAAGCTTAGTTGGAGTCGGTCGAAAAGCAACAGGGCCAGGCCCCTCTTGGCGAACTTCCAAGTTACTCGACTTCTCGCTATCTGAGATGAAAACGTGTCTCTCTCCTTTACTTTCTCTCTCTTTCTTTCTCTTTTTCTTTCTGTCTGTGTGTGTGTGTGTGTGTGTGTGTGTGTGCGTCTGTATGTTTCACACAGAATCAACCGGTGTAATTCGAAGATCGTAACTTTCGATCGATATTTGAGAATAAATCGATATTAATCCAAAAATAAGACATTATAAGTATAATATTTTTGTGACTTTTATTATCATAATTTCGATTGATTTTGAGTTAAAAAGGATTATTTGATTTAGCAAAAAAAGAAAAAGAAAAATTGATTTCATTTTGATCGATCGATATTATTCGTCGTTTTCGAAAACTAAAGAAAGAAAAAAGAGGACACGTCGTAGGGCGGTGCTCCGAAGAGATGGAGAGAAAGAAATAGCGTTTCTTTGTGGACGGAAATGCGGGATGGACACGCGGAACGACGGAAAGCGAGCGAGATCGTGTTCGCGCGCGCGTAAATGTCCCTTCACGTACGTGTGTGCGTGCGCCTCCGCGAACTGCTCCCTGGATTCGCGTAATGGGAAAATCGATTAGGAGTCGAGTAAGTAAGGTGACTGTTCAAGGTGTACGGATACGTCGCGTGGAAGGTTCTGCTCTTCGTCGTTCTTTCCTTATTTTCGGGGAACTCGTTAATTGGCTACGATGAATGGATTTCTTAAGTTATTTTCCATAAAGAAAAAAAAAAAAAAAAAAAAAAAAAAAAGAAATAAGACAAGTCTCTCCATCGATTTGGTGAAAATTTTTCTCAAATTTTACACACATTACGATTCAATAATTATTATTATATTAAAATCATTAATTACTCAGTTGATTATTTTTTCTTGATGATAAAAATAAAAATTACAATTTTATTCGCGAATTATTTTTACTTTCGAAACAATCGTCTTTGTAAACTTTTTTTTAAGTTATATAGAATGATGGCGATAATGGCCCACCCTATATATAGATAAATATATATATATATATATATATATATATATATATATATATTCCGTTCGATTATCCACAACTAAGGGCTCGCTTCTCGAATTACTTCTAGTAGGTATCGCATTAAACGTACGCACTCGAAGATGAACTCACGTGAACATGTTGGTCGTGTAAGCTGCACGCTCGAGCAATGCTTGTGTACACACATATATACACATAACTATATATACCTATCTACCACTGTGAGTTTCCACATACGAAACTTTCCTTTCTGTCTCTATGTATTCTTCGTAAGTAAACTAGAAGAATAAGAGCAAACGAATCGTTTTATAGTGATCTATTAAAGAATAGCATCGATTGAAACGTTAGTATAATTATCATATAGTTGCTTCTCGAAAATATAGATAAGATATGGCATATAACTATGATTCTTTTCTTTCAAAGTTTACACTTATTACGGTCTCTTTTTTCTTTTTATCGCCTTACCTTCCGCGTATACGTGAGGTCGTGAGGTCATAAGAAAGTCCAGCGAGACGAATATGCAAAGCCATGGATGCAAAGTGGGCCAAGCATGTTATTAGTTTTAATTAATTGATTATATATTCAGCTTGCATCCAGAGCTGAATTGCTTCCCCCTCTTCGTTTCTCTTCTCCCTCTTTACAAAGTTGCTCTCTAAGGAAAATTTTAACGATTATCCGAAAATCGATTGCATTCTTTTTTCTTTTTTCTTTTTTCTTTTTTCTTTTTTCTTAATAAAGCAAGGAAATATTTCGTAAAGAATTTTCAATAAACATTTATCATAGAGAAAAACAAGCAATGGGGGATGATCATTGAAAGGGTTAAGCGAGGATGCAACTCGAATAGTCCAGCGCAGCTTAAAGCTTTGGAGCTTTTCCCTCGAGCGAGAGGAAACCCACCGAAGGTTCAATGACGCCATCCTCGTCCTCCTCATCGTCGTCGCCGTCGTTGGCGGCGAGCGACGATAGCGGCTCCTCCTCCATCACATATGCATGCGCCTCGTGGTGAATGCAGTACAGCTCTGTAGAGTTACACCGAGCGCACCTAGAAAGGCACGCTCGCGTCCGCAGCTGTCGTTCTATGTGCCTTTCAAGATACTTACCCACGACGGATAACGTCCTTTTTATTTCCACAACAACAAAAATAAATATAATATAATATAAGAGGAAGTTTGGAAATTCCTTTTTACAGATTCGATATATCTCAACGAAATGGAAATGACATATGAAACTTTTAGCTGCATATAAAAATATATTAATTATTAATGCTATTAAATATATATATATATATATATATATATATATATATAATATAGATATATTTAATAACATACTTTGATATAAAAGTTCAATCGAAACGTTGCATTTTTAATGTCTTTGTCTTTCAATGTTTAAACACAAATTGATGCACCCTTCTTAAGGGCATAACTATTTATCCTTATACGGATATGCATATTTATTATTATCTAGAAGAATAGAAAATTGTTTGCATTTTCAAGACAAATGTATAAATATAAATAATTTAAATAATTTTTAAAACGAACGTTAAGGGAGAACACAAATTGTACGCAAATTTTCTACATTGCAGCTGGTAAATATTTGCACGAATTAAGTCGATACAAGCCGTCCACTGTCCTCCCTATTGGCTACTTTGAAAGTCTTCTTTTCTGTCTCTTCTTAGCAAAGCCATAGCGTCAAAAATAATGACACTAAAATTCGCTTTCCAGTCGGCACAGTAATAACGAGAGAGAAAGAGAGAGAGAGAGAAAAGATAGAGAGTCAAGTTCATTGACCCGACGGAAGGCGTCGACCGACTTGGTTTTAATCGAACGTAAGAATATTACGTCGAAAAGGAGCTTTCATCTAGTAACGAAAAGATAAATCACGTGTTCTAATTATTCTAATCTCCGTAACATTAACCTATATTCGTATTATATCGAATCGAAGTGTTTTTAAGATATATAAAGTTTTGGTAAGATTCTGGTAAATTAACTACTCTCTCTTTCTCTTTCTCGCTAGAAGAAGTAAATTCGAGTAGGGCCAATTAGAAGATACGATTGGAAGGAGAGTAAAGGCGAGAAGGAAAACGCAGAAGCAACAGTAGTCGCGCGCGCGTGTTCACGAGAGAGAGAGTGAGAGAGAGAGAGAGAGAGAGAGAGAGAGAGAGAGAGAGAAAGAAAGAAAGAGAGAGAGAGAGAGAGTCGCCGAAGAGGCGACAGAGAGAAGGAGAAGGAAAGAGGCAGTGGGTGTGTAAGAGAGAAAGAGAGAGAAAGAGAAGGGGTAGGGCAAGTGGAAAGGACGAGGGTGTTAGCGGGGGCGGATGAAAGGACGCTTACCAGCTACTACCTATTGATCGCCAATTCTTTTTCTCTTGTTGCATATTAGGCGCACTCGGCCTCCTCTCTCTTTTCCTCGATGTGCCGTGTGCGAGTCCACACCTCTCTCCTTCCACTTCTTCCTCCTCCTCTTTTTCTCCTCTTCCTACCTTTTTGGCCCTCACCCTTCCTACTTCGACTCGTGGCTGTAGAACGCGCGAATCCGCCCCTATAAACTCTATTTCTCTTTCCTACTCTCTCTCTCTCTCTCTCTCTCTCTCTCTCTCTCTCTCTCGCTCTTTCTCTTTCTCTTTTTCTTTCTCTGTCACATTCTCTTTTATTTGATAAAATAAAGAGATCGAGACAAAAGCATTCTTACTTTGTCTTTTTCTCTGTTTTTTCCTGACGTTCGACAATGTTTCATTAGATATAGGTAAATTTATTAGCGATACAAGGATTCGATTTTAGACGATAAAAGATGCAATGTCTTTTGTTTCAGGTTACAATCGGTAAGAGAGAAAGAGATAGTTGAAGAAGTCTGGTCGTTTCGGTGCAGAAAGAAGAAAGAGGAGAGAGGGAAAGTCGAGGGCGCAAGCGTGCACGTGCTCTTTGCGCGTTCCTATGCCCTAAGCAGTCTGTCCCACTATCAGAAGTGGCACCGAGGACGGAGGAAACGCGGAGGCTAGTCGTCCCTCCGTCGTGTCGGCCTCATCCCCTCCCCGGTTGCGCGGCATCCCTCCAGCCTGCACGGAGGACCACCGCCGCCGCCGCCGCCACCGTCGACGTCGAGCATACAACGACAACGACGAAGACGACGGAAACGATCAAGACAACGACGACGACGACGACGACGACAACAACAACGACGACGAGGACGACGACGACGACGACGACGACGCCGACAACAACGACGACGACGACGACGACGACGCCAACGACGACGCCGACGACGACAACGACGACGACGCCGACGACGACGACGACGACGACGACGACGAGGACGAGAAAGACGGATCGTTTGTGACGTCGAGAGAGAAGCACGCGCTACTCCGCCGCGTGCCGCGTCGGCTGTTAGGGGAAGCAAGAGAAGGGGAAAGAGGAGAAGACGACGTACCGAGGAGGAGAAGGCAACGTTGTTGGTGGTGGTGGTGGTGGTGGTGGTGGTGGTGGTGGTGGTGGTGCAGTTGCTGCCGGACGTGAACGTGTTGGTGATAGTAGTAGTGGTGGTGCTGGTGGGGACGGCACCGAAAGGAAAGAGGTGCTGGAGGAGAACGACGGCGACGGAAAGGAGAAAGGGGAGGAGGAGGACGGTGGTGGTGGTGGTGGTCGTGGTGGTGGTGTTGGTAGTGATAGTGGTGGTGGCGGCGGCGGCGGCGGCGGCGGCTACGACGACGGTGGTGGAGGAGGAAGAAGAGGAGGAGGAGGAGGAGGAGGAGGAGGTGGTGGTAAAGGTGGAGGTGGCGAGGCTCGTGGCGGCGGCGAAGGAGACGCGGACGTCCACGCGGGTACACGAGGCAGGCACACCCGGCCGGCACGCACACCCATATTCTAAGATGTGATTTCAAAAATGGCGGATTGCCCCTATGCCCGCTGTATACAGGAACGCAGACATATCCGACGGGAGCTGCTGCGATGGACAAAGAATATGGTCTTCGTAGTCGGTGAGTAAAGCAGACACGAACAGCTGCTCGCCCTCTCGCGTGGGTGTGGTGCTGCTGTGTGATGCTGCGTATATGTTTGTGTGTTGCGCGTGCGTCCATGAGAATGTGTATGTGGAGTACGGACGGGGAGGAGGGACACACGCCGCTCCTGAGACCTGTTGCGAACCGAAATACCGAATCCTGCTAGACACACCGATACACCCCTTGAATCCGTGCGTTCAACAGGGTGATTCTCCGCGTGCTCCCTTTTTTCTTCCGTTTTTTCTTTTTTTTTTCTTTTTTCTTTTTTTTTTTTTTTTTTTCTTTTTCTTTTATTCCTTCCTAATTCTTTTCAACGTTTCTTCTTTGGATTAGATTGGAAAGAAATTTTGGAAATTTTCTAACACAGGTTATTTCGACAAGATCTATTCGATCGAATAATTTGTTTCGTTTGGACTTTTTTTTTCTTTTTTCTTATCGCTCGAATGAAATTGCATTTCATTGGGAATTGCAAAATGCGTTTGGAATTCCGAAAGTGTTGTGCGTCTTGACCACGGACAACGGATTCCAGCCGCCGCCCGAAAGTGCTTTCTTTTCTTCTTTTTCTTACAGCCTGTCCTCCCCTGCTTCCTCTTTCTTTCTCGACACACCCCACCAAGGAGACCCTATCTCTTCCCCACCCTCGTAACCGGTTCGACGAAGGGAGAGTTTCGTCGGTCGCAGAAGGCGTGTGGAGACGCGCGTGTCGGTGTTGCTTGGGCTCGTAGTCGTCGTCCTCTTCGTCGTTACGCTTCTTTTTCCTGACCTCTCACTCCCTCTCTCGCTCTCGCTCTCTCTCTCTCTCTCTCTCTCTCACACTCTACCATCCCCATCTCGTTGGAAGTGTGTCCTCTCCCTCCCTCACCTTTCTTTTACTTTTTTCTTCGTTCGGGAACGCAGCTGCCGCTTCGGTGGTCGAGAAATTTTCGCGGATTCCTCCCTTCTACTTTCAACTCTCCTTCTTTTGTTCCACGAAGATTCCAAAAGGGTGGTTCGCGGCGTTCCGCGAGTCGGCGTGTATGTGTCCCTCTCTCGGTAACACCCCCTCCGACTTCCTTTCCACGATCTTCGAAGATCGACCAGTGCGCGTTCGGGAAGTCTGACGAAAGGTGTCGCGAAAGAAACGAGACATTAGTGTATCGGAGGAACGTGACATTGATAACTTAGACCCAAAGTTATCTCTGTCTTTGTCTAAATCTGCGTGTCCTAGGGAACACTTGTCGGCAGTGTTTTTTTACAAATTCCCACCGATCTCGACGCGATCACGCGCGCTCTAATCCACCTCGTTTGAACGTTTGCACGTAACTCGAGAGAGAGAGAGAGAGAGAGAGAGAAAGAGGGTGAGAGGGAGGGAGAGAGAGAGAGTATGGAATTGGACGTAACGATGGACAACCGATCGCAACAATGTCCTCGTCCTCTTCGATTCGTGTGTCGAAGAAGATCAACGAGAGACAGTGCGTTTCTACTTTTACTTGAATGTCTACTTGTTCTTCGAGTTTAACATCATGTCGATCGGCTATCGACTGAACATCGAGAAAACGCGGAAGACGAAGATAAAGAACGTGTCACCGGCTGTACAGACTCTGCGTAGAGAATAGGTACGAGAGACATTACAAAGCTGCAGTTTGTTTTCTCTAAGCGCTCTAAACGCGTGGTACTAGTCTAGCACGTGTTGCGCGATTAGAACCGGCTACTGACTGTTCTTTCGTTTCGTTTTGAGAAAGTATAAGTTTTTCTCTATTCGTTTAAATACTCGAATCGTTATGATAAATGAATTGCAATTTTAAGTTCATTAGTATTTCGTTTATTTGAAATTATCCGAAGATATGATAAAACGTTCGATAGATGCAGTTGGTACTGATCGTTAAAAGCCACATAAAAAAGAATGTCGAGTGGATAGGAAGAAGGAGACGGAGGAAGAGGAAGAGGAAGAGGAAGAGGAGAAAGAAGAGATGGTAAAAACGGGGAATGGGTGGGTAAGGAGAAAACCGAGGAGGAAGCAGCGCGGGAAGTAACAATAAAAATTCGTGGGCATTCGTGTTTCGTCGCCGAGCTAGAGAGTGGAACGGGGGAGTCTCGTGGAGGTGGTGGATAAGGGATGGAAGAGAGATAGAGGGAAGTGGTGGATAGAAGTAGGGGGTGCGTAATGAAACGATATTGAGTAGCCATGGTGGGGAGGAGAGTTGTGGAAAGAGGTGGGGATCGTCTTTTCGCCCTCTCCGTCGATTGACCTCGCTTCGACGACGACGATGACGACGACGACGACGACGACGACGACGACGACGACGACGACGACGACGACGGCGACGCCGATGAAGAAGGGTAGTAGGGAGAGGCGAATCAGGGGCGGACATCGAAGAGTGCAACGGTGGGGACCGAACTAACCTCTACCACCCTTAAAAGTTCGAGGGAGGGAGAAGTTAAATTGACGAAAATGACGAGACGGCACCTCTCCATCCCTCGCCTTTCCATTTCCTCCTCCTCCTCCTCTTCCTCCTCCTCCTCCTCCTCCTCCTTCTCTTCCTCCTCCCCATCCTCTCCTTCTCTCGTTTCTTCTATCTATCTCATTTCTTTCTCCCTTTTTACAACGATGCACCAACGATGCCTCGAAAAGTTCAAATCGATGCTTCGACGTCATCGGAGCAACAAGGATTCGTGATAATTGTTCGGCCGAAACAAGTTTCTATGGTATATCGTCTACCTATCGGTTCATTCGTTCGATTTCGATATAGCTAACGTGCAATCGATAGAGACTGACGTTTTCCTTCGTGCTGAAGTGGATAGGATAAACTCCTGATTAATTTCGTACCTGTGATTCATGAGCCTCAGAAAATAGGATCTCTTGCATTTCAAATTATTGATTGATCGAATACAATCGAAGAAAGAAAACAAAAGTAATTACAATTATTTCGATCTTTCGTTTTCCTGTTTTCTTCTTTTTTTTTTCGTCGATCTGTAAAATTGAAGGAATGTTACTCGAAGTATTAGTTCGTAGGGGGGAAAAAAAATGATCTGTCTCGATGACGTGTGATAAAATTGACATTACTGTCGCTAGTAATGAATTTCGTTATACGCTTATGCAATGATCGCTCGCTTATCAACGTAATTAGCTTACCGTTCGTTATCGCTGGCGGGTGCTAATTACGCATTAATTTTCTAAATAATTGAAGGTATAACTTGTAAAATAGCAATTGTCAAGTGATGTACTATGTTCTCATTTATTTGTTGATAATTCTTTTGATGATTATGTTTGTTCGCTCCTCTTAAAAGTATTCATTTTTATATGGCTATATTTAGTCGTATACAAATTTTTAAATTAATCAGACAAATAAACGAAAGAGAAAGAAAGAGAGAGACAGAGAGAAAGAAAGAGAGAGAGGGAGAGAGATTCTTTGTCGAAAATTTATTACGTTCTTTTTGTAATCCAGTTTTTTTTTCTTTTTTTTTTTTTTTTTATCCGATGGTCATATTTTCTTCGATTCAAAGTTTCGATTCTCGTCAGTGCGGCGTAATAATGAGATTAGTGGCCGACTGGTACTGTACGTATACGCGCGCGTCCATGCTATCCAGTGCACGTGCGCTCGCGTATGCGTCCTATACATATATATAAATATATACACACACATATATATATATATGCACACGTTGACTACACTTGCATAGGTGGAAGAGAGAAGGAGAAGCTCGGTAACGATTACACGTGGATGGGTTGATCGCTCTTTCTCTCTTCCTCTCCTTCATTCTCCTTCTCTCTCTCTCTCTCTCTCTCTCTCTCTCTCTCTCTCTCTCTCTTTCATCCATCTCTAGCTCTTTAACAGCGTTAAGCCGCAAAAGTTTATATAATTAAACCATGCGCATAAATATTTGCAAGAATGTGGTTTTCGTCTATATTCATGACATTTTATCGTCCATTTTATATCGTCTTTGTATATATACGTATATATATATATATACATATGTACATGTCGTTTTTGTATGTAAAATTGGAGCAAGCAGTTTCACCGAAGAAGCAAGTATCTCTCTTTGTTCTCGCGACGAGTATGCAGCTTTACGTGCATCTCTTTAGGGTCCAGTCTCATACGAAATATTCGCACGTGTCCGCTCTTACTCTCGCACTTATTGTATGTTGCTTGTGTTTTCTCTCTCTCTCTCTCTCTCTCTCTCTCTCTCTCTCTTTCTCTCTCTTTCTCTCTTCGTCTTTCGGTGTACGAACACGCTGTAGAGGCCTTTGTTAAGAGCGACGTTGCATACGTTAATCTCTGGTAGCCTCTCTTCCCGCGGGTAATCCTAGACGTCGGACCGACGATAAATGGGTCACCAGACGACGACTGTATCGTCAGTCTGGCATCCGATTACCGCTCACATCGCTTACCAAGCGTGAACACGACGAAAATCTTACCTCCCCCACTTCTCTCTCGCGGCTTCCTTTTCAAGATTCGCATTTCTTTCAACGAAAGTAGCTCGACCAACTTTGCTTGCGTTTCTTATAAATAACACTCTTTTGATTTTATTATTAAACAAAAAATGAATCATTACGTTCGTTCTTTCTATAGTAATGAAATATAAATTTATTTAGGCATTATTTTTGGAAAAATATTGAACTCTATTTGTCAGTTTTTTATTTATTTATGTTTTTCTTTTTTCTTTTTTTTTTATAACGATTGCGTAAGACACTTCGAGCAAATCTATTTAAAACCTCGCCAATTTCTTATGAACATTAAAAGAAGAATTATTGTGGAAGAGTCCAAAAGGTCGATTGAAGTCGAAAGAGAAAAAGGATTAAGAAAGAAAAAAAAAAGAAAAAAAAAGAAGAAAAAGAGAAAGAGAGCGATTGATGATCGATGAAACGTTTTTCATTTGCGTCTGTATGTGCTTGCGCGTGTCCGCCGTGAAGCAGTAAAAAAAGAAATCGTTAACCTATTGGCTTATTTAGAGACACGTTGCAGCGTACTTGTGACCTTAACCAACTCCGGGCGAATAGC